CAACGCTGGCATTGTGATTCGGCGAGGCGCTGCTGGTCCGGCATGGTGGGTGGCTTGGCATGCTGATGTGGCAGCTGCCATGCGCTGTCGCTGATGTGGCTGCTGCCACATGTATCATTGGCTGATGTGGCTGCCGCCACGTGTTCTTCTGTTCGCTGACGAAGCGAAGCTACGTGACTTGTATCGCTGTTCTGATTATCGTCATTCGGGAGGAGATCAGGACTGTGGAGAGATCGTGGATACGTACCTGGTTGTCTTCATGTCGACATTGCTCCAGCATTGATGAGGGACTGATTAGACGTGCCACGTGGCACATTGAGGTTACTTCAGATACTCGTTCAGACTATTGATTATTGAGGTGGTGATTGAAGAGGGAGCCCGAAGCAGGAGTGGGCCTTGTATTTATTTCCTCTCCTTTGTCTAATCTCCCTCCTCTCTCCTTCGTCTGTGTATGATTATCTCATCTCATTCTGTCTGGACACGATTTTGACTATTGGTAATCATCAGCTCGTTGACATTCATCTGGGTTGCATTGTTGACGACTATCTTCACGATCTGGGTTCATTGCAATTTGGTATCGGAGCAGTTCTCCTGACGACGATGATTGCACGTGTGTACGCGCCAGGTGGTGCACAGGTAAGTATAGTGTACACGTGTGTTGAGTAGGTGATGACGTGGCAAGAGATACGCCGGGGGTGCTGACGTGGCACAGACTTCACTGGCGAGAAGACACCGCCGGTGTTGCTTCACTGGCGAGAGGAGATCCCAACGAGGCTGCTGACGTGGCAGTAGGGACCGCGACCAAGAGATGCCGCACGCCAGCCTGGATCGCGATAGTGACGTGGCATCACAATCCCCTACTGACGTGGCACATGTTGTGCCGCATCTAAAGACCTTGTTTATTGATTGCTGATGTGGCACTTTTTATGCTGCTGACGCGCGACATGGTCTACTGCAGATGCTGACGTGGCCTTGGGAAAACACAGGATTGATTTCTGACGTGGCAAGAAGCAAGTCATCACACCTGTGTTATGATTCTGGTTGTTTGTTGTCTGATGACCAACCCTCACACCCATTGACTCCCAGGTATGCCCATACATACACAGAAGGAAGGGGAGAGGA